GAGTTAAAATAATATAAAATATATCTTGATGATCTGTGTAAACTTCGGTATTTTTGATCCACACTACAAATTTTTACATGCATTTTTTTATTTGTTAAACCTAAGGTGGAAATTTTGTAAACAATATATAACAATTTTTCAATGGTATAGACAGTCCGTTTGAAGTGATGAGACGCATTCTGACAAACCAACTGTGTTATGTATTTCTTTAATTTGTATTATTCAATTTGTCCGAATGTGTCATTTTTATATGAGAAATCAGCCTGTGGTGAATTCCAAGAGCAAAATTCTTGTGACAAATATTACACTCCGCTACAAAATCATCTTTTTTTGTCCAATATTTATATGACCAACTGCGAAGGATATGATTCTTTCGTTGTTTCTCAGAATGCGAATTCAAGTGATTTTCTATAGATTCAGATGTAGATCGAACATTTGCATTGCAGATAATACATTGTGAATATAATTTGTTTGAATACTTAAAATACATCCATGGCAATTTTATTAGTTTCTTTTCTTCTTCGTATTTCCAAATTTTTCTATGATGTCTTGCAAAATGCATATGGAAAGATTTAACGGTTATATAATAATATTTTTTTCACAAAACATGCACTGCGCTTTAAAATGCGGCAGTTTTACAAAATATTTCCACACATGCTTTTAGTTACAACAGTTAGTGACTTAGACGTTGTGTCCGTTTTGAAAGTTGATGAAACGCATTCTGATGAACCAACTGTATTACGTGTTTCTTGAGTATTTTTCAATTTGTCCCAATGTTTCTTTTTTATATGAGCGTCCAAAGAATTATAAATAGCAACAGGTACATTTTTATTACAAATATTACACTCCACCACAAAATCATCTTTTTTTGTCGAATATTTATATTGCCAACTGCAAAGGATATAATTCTTTCGTTGTTTTTCAGAATGTGAACTCAAATGATTTTCTACAGATTCGGATATAGACAGAATATTTGCGTCACAAATAATACACTGTGAATGTGATTTGTTTAAATACTTGAAGTACATCCATGGAAATTTTATTAGTTTTCTTTCTTGTTCGTATTTTAAAATTTTTTTATGATATTTTTCCATATGATGATAGAAATTTCCATTGTCTATATAATAATATATGTTTTCACAAAACATGCACTGCGCTTTAAAATCCGGCAGTTTAACAAAATATTTCCACAGATGCTTCTTAGTTACAATTTTTAGTGACTTCGACGATGTGTTCGTTTGAAGTGATGAAACGCATTGTGATGAACCAACTGTGTCATGTGTTTCTTGCGTATTTTTTAATTTGTCCGAATGTTTCACTTTTATATGAATATCCAAGTAATCATGAACCTGAAGAGATATATTTTTATTACAAATATTACACTCCGCTACAAAATCATCTCTCCTTGTCGAATATTTCCATGGCCAACTGCGAAATGTATGATTCTCCCGTTGTTTTTCAGAATGTGAACTCAAGTGATTTTCTACATATTCGAACGTAGACAGAACATGTGCATCACAGATAACGCATTGTGAACAAGATTTGTTTAAATATTTGAAAAACATCCATGGCCCTTTTATTATTGTTTTCTCTTCTTCGTATTTCCAAATTTTTATATGATTTATTGCCATATGTGGTTTTATGTCTGCATCTCTTAAATATACATATTTATTTTCGCAAAACTTGCACTGTGCTTCAAAAATCCGATAGTTTCACATA